CTTAAAACAAGATCCTAAAAGGATCAATCATTTAATCAATTTTATTTGTATAATATTTAAAATTCGAAAGTTTATATAAGTAAGTTTCGTGTATTGGTGTATTGGTACTAAATCACGTAATTAATAAAGATTTTTATTTAATTAATCTATAACGCAAGGTTAAATAAATCTAACTTTTTGGATCATATATATTTCAAAAATTGTACCGAAACCAGGCTTCAGACTCATGGAAATCCTAGTGTAAAGTCTAGTTTCATACTATTGATTACCCAACAATGATTTTTATTTTAGAATTCAAGTATCAAATTTAAAAAAAATAACTGACATAACAAACCATACAGAGATTATAAAGCATGTACTTTTTTCAACTTTGAAGATGTTTCAATATTATTTTACAGGACTTTTTCCCAGAGTAAGTCGTAAGGGTTATACTACACTTCTTTAATTTTACAAAAAAAAAAATACAATTTCATATATTGTGAATGTAATGGAAGAGTTGATTCTAGATAGGACGAGATTAAAGATAGGAATGTGTTAAAAATGTCTCCATCATTAACTTTAACAAATACAAATATTGTAATTGATCTTGTTTACGAACAAAATGTTAGGTATTCATAAATTTCATTCAAATTCATCTTTCTTTCAAATACAGAGCAAAATTTAACAACTCTTAAATGATATGAAAGGCACTTGTTATTATATCTTTAATAAATTGCTTAGAATATACCTAATACAAAAAAGTGTACTGAATTTTCTAAAATAAAAGTGCGTAGAAGTAACAGACGCATTACAATCCTTCCAATAATATATCTCATAAGTAAGAATAAGTAACATGGAGACTGACATACAACTTTTTAGCCCATTTTTTAGGTAGAATTATGTTTTGAAGTTTGAGTTCATCTTCATTATTTTAATACATCATGTTGTATTAATGAACTTTAATATTTTTATTTAAGAATAATAAAATCTATTTTAGACCTCCAATAAATCTAGCGTTAACTTAAATTTGTGTGTCTCACATTTACATAATGCAAAGATTAAATGAGAGGATTTCATTTTTATATATAGACATGGCAAACACAGAAATCTTTTGATGTAACACGTCGTTTTAATTTGTCATCAACCATTACGTTCAGTGGAGGCGGGTCTGTGACGTTAAATTTTTTGTAATATGTTGCGCACGCGCCGGTATCTCTCGACTGTCCATATCTGGAGATGTTACAAATAAATTCCTTTTTTCACTCATAATTATTTAATTGCTTAAATAATGCTTAAGTTAAAGTTAAAATTAGATTAATAAACACTATTTATATTATTTTCCAACAAGATATTATCATTATTTCTCTGTTAAATGTATAATATATTAGTGTGTTTTTATATGTGCTTAGTGATTAGTTCTATTAGAACAAGTTTACGACGTCACACTGTAGTTCAAGAGTCTTCAGTTTTTGTTTCATAAATCTTAACACATGTTTTATACTCAATTTTAACACATGTTTTAACTGTATTTTGGCACGAAGTCACTCAACAGAGGCTATTGACAACGTTAGTAATCTACAAACAATCAACAGCGCCATCTATTGTGCTTATTTATATATTCCATAAGGTAATAGGCATATCAATTTCAAAAGTCACCTTTACTTTCTTTTTTTCTTTCTACTTCCCACTAAACCTTAGTATGGAGTCCACTATCACAAAAATAGTAATTAATAAGGATAACTTTCTTAAAATTTTCTTCCGCATCAAAATAATTGTGTTCGATTTATGATAATCACAAAGTGACATATATTATTCACGTATATTGAAATGAACTTAATGACCATTTGGTAAGTGGAAATGAATTATTTGTTATATACAATCAAATACTTTATATATGATAGGTATTTCTAGTACATTTTTGTCACTTATCTGACCGAATAATATGTTAATTGCCCTTATGTTTTCTTGTTTGTTTATGCTGTGTGTGAACTGTGGGGGTATATTTTCCTTCAAAATATTAGTAAGTATTTTAATATAATTTTTGTTGATAAATTTAAAATAGCATATTAAAAACATCAATAGTGTGACATTTATCAAGCAAAACTTTGAAATTCGAAATTGCTATTGATTTTTGACGACGTGAAATAATAATCTCTAATACATATTATATTGTCTAACCCAACCATTCTTTTTAAAGAATACTCTGGAAAATAAAAAATAAAATATTATTTGACATTCTTAGAATGACTGAAGAAATTTGAATATCTTTGAAACTAGTAAAAACTTTCATATTAGGACCTATTATGAATACAACTTACAATGTGGAAAAAATATGAATTTGTTTCATTGAAGCAACGGAGATATTTAATATCGATCGACATCTCATACTTATATATTTTGGAACTAGTTTGTTTTATAATTAAGAAAAATCATCATCAGCTTATCAGAGCCCACTGCTAAATAAAAGCCTCTTCCCCCATAGAGAAGATTTGAGTATTACCTACCACGTTTGCTCGAGGCGGGTTAGCGATTTCAAACTTATAATTGTGAAATTATAAATCCAGGTTTCCTCACGATGTTTTCCTTCACCATCTATCAGTGGTATCTAAATACTCTTAGAAATTACATATGACTCGGAAAAGTGACATTGGTACTTGCCAGATTTCGAACCCTTAATGCATGAGAGGCGGGCCTTTAACCTCTATGCCACCACGAGCTAATAAGAAAAAATTGGCGATAAATTAAAAATGTTGGATAGAAGTTCATTTCATCCTGAAAATCACTTTGTTTGATTCAAACAATTCACAAAGCCCACAAAATGTTTGAGTCAGGCTACTGTTACACATGTTTTAAATAAGCTTGGTATTAAGCATGCTCAATACAAGCACTCCTGGGAGCCGTTTACATTTGCGGGCAATAGGTATGTTTGTTTTAAGCATGCTCCTGAACAAGCATGCTTAAAGCAAACGTTCCAAATAATTATTTTTTTTGATATCGCAGGGAAATTCTTTTTACGAGCCGTCCAATCGGCCTTGGTGGGGCCGGAAGGGATGTGTGAGACTCGATCTGGGCAGGCCCCTTCTCACTAAAACCACTGCGAAAGTCATCGGCCGCTATGTTGGTGTACCCCGAATCTGTCAGCGACAGGCCACACCAGCGGCTGGCCGGTCCTGGCAAAGACCGGACTTACTCCCTTGGAGAATGAGCACATTTCTGGCAATCAGGACCGCCCCGACGACGATGGGCTTTCACTGGAGCCGGGTTACCACGCCGACCCCAGCCCGGAGCACAGGGGTGCTATTGGAGGCGTTGGAATCGCCTCCGTCGCACGTCGTCTGCGGAGGGAGGGTGCATCAGCCGCATCCTCCCTTTCCCGCTCAGATGCCTCCTTTATGGACATGACCGTCTCACAGAAGGAGGACACCGCCAGCCAGGATCTATCACTCTCGCTCATCTTCTCCGCGATACTCGAAAGTGACAAATCCACTTCGGTGAGAGCCGCCACGAGGTCTTGGCGCTGCACAGCCAATCTCGGGCACACTTCGAAGGTGTGCTGGGCCGAGTCTGGTTAAGATCTGCGTCAGACGGAAAGTGAGGGGCTTGCGTTTCCGCCTCATCCAACGCTCTAGGTTCGGGCGAAGCGCTGCCGTTGTACGTCTACCGTACGCTTGCTCCGCCAGGCCCTCCCCCCACTCCCGCATAAGGCGCTCCTCCCCCTGCCGACGAACCGCTCGGATCTCCTTCGACGAAGGGTTCTTGCCGAGTACCCTCCTACCCGAGACATAGGGGAACAGCTCGGCTTTCCAAGTACACATGCTTTTTGATAGCGTGCTTTTCTCGCTCTCTGTCAGTTCAAACAAAGTCATGGATAATCAAACAGCTAGCCGTACCTATGGAGATGAATAAGATCATCCTCTTGATGGCGATGCAATGCCTCCAGACGCTTATATCAGGTCGCTAAAAAAAGAAAAGAAAGATAATGATTTGGGTCCGTAACTGGATATCGAGAAGACAGGATTTGGGAGCAAGTGCTCAATTACTTACAGAAATACAAGCAGACGATGTTTTATCTGTTGCAATTGACTAATCGGTAGGTACTAGCATGCTTAATAAGCAAACGTGTTTAGATATGCTTAAAGCACGCCCTCTTGCATCCGCGCCGCTAGTAGCATGGTTAAAAATGGCACGCCTGTCGATTTTAAAGCATGATCCAAAAAAGCATTCTTATTTTAAGCAACATTTGGACACGCATGCAAGTAAACAGCAAGTGCTTAATTAAATAATGCTTTCGTGCTTGAAATAAGCATGTGTAACTGTAGCCTCAGTTCCAAGAAGTACTATGGACACCGCATGTACATATTTATACATTCAGTTCTTATAAAATAGTGGCCTATCTGATGTAAAGTGTAGGGTCAAAAGTTTTTGTAAAGCAGCAGTGAGAGCAACTCCATAATTTAGATGTAATTTGAGATCAAAATGTATTAAATTCTGAAAAATAACATGACAGAACTCAGATCTATTAAATATCTATTTAATATTTTTTTATGGTGTAATATAATCGTAATGAACCTTTCTATCAAATAATTTAAATAGTGGCAACTAGCCTATAACTTAATTTTGTATAACCTCGATTTTTTTTTACTATTATATATATATATATATATATATATATATATGTATGTATTTAATTAATCTTACTATTGTTATTTCTATTAATACATTCATACATATTAAAAGTTATTAATAAAAATATATGTTATGTCATAAATGTATTAAATAATATTTAATCTGTTTAATTATTTTTAGCCTGTTTGTATTTTGAGAGCTTGCTTACACGTCAAATGCTTGGTAACAATTTAGGACTAATGTTTTTACAAAAATCTAAATTATTATAAATAAATAAATAAGGTATTTATAATAAAATAAAACTACTGTGAAGCAACGTGGATGAGTAGTAAAAATATCACATTAATTTGGTTATAGCAACTAATGTTTCACTAGGCTAAGTTTATCGCGAAAAAATGGGTTAGTGAGTTTGATTAATTTAGGATATTTCAATAAATTTGATATTATTTTCCCTACAATAAGTGTTTTCTTGTATAGGTGGTTTACTCAGTTACTTTAGAGGTCTATTGGGTGCTCGTGAAATGCGGATTTTGATCCTGGGTTTGGACGGCGCCGGGAAAACCACTATATTGTACAAATTGCAAGTGGGAGAGGTAGTGACTACCATACCGACTATTGGTTTCAATGTCGAACAAGTTACTTACAAAAATTTAAAGTTTCAAGTATGGGATCTGGGAGGACAAACCAGCATCAGGTGAGGTTAAGAGTTCTTATTATAGTTACTGTCTCAAAAACAAATTGATGATAAATCATTTAAATACTTAATGTAATCATTTCACAAAAAAATCTTAGTCAAGGTTAATTACACTCTAAAATCTTTAAATAGTACAATGGTTTTATGTTATTTAAAATTTGTGTAAATGTAAACAATAATGTATAATTACTAAACGAGGGGGTCAAAATTTAAGTTATACTATAACCATGAAAGTATTGTATCAATTTTAGAATATAATTTATTTATAATAAAAAAACTGTTTATCATTTCAATAAAAAATGTAATATCTTTACATAAAGCTAATAGCATTTTTGTGTAAAAATAATGATAATCTTATCTTTAATACACATGAATGTTAATTACAATTCCTTTAAAGTTCCAATTTGGCAGGTATAGTAAGTTTAGTAAATATTAGTACATATAGACAACAGAGAATCTAAAGATTTTTGAAGCAACCCAAACCAGTAAAAGCTCTTTAAATTAAATGTATTTCAAAAGTATGTAGAATATTTTTATTCTTGAAATTCCATTGAATAAGTGATGTTCATTTGTTTATATAAACTTTTATATTGCCATTTAAACAAATATGCCATATATATAACAAATTTAGTATAAGTAGTAATTTTAATGAAATATTAGGCATAAATTTTTGTAAATAAAGGTTGTTTTTTTCGCTTGATTTAAAAAAAATGTGAATATTTCCCTGTTAATACTTTTATTATACAAAATATGGGAAATAAGTTTTGGTTACTAAATATATTATAAATGACCTATTAATATATGTATATATTTTTTTTTTGCAGACCATACTGGCGATGTTACTATGGCAATACGGATGCTATCATATATGTGGTTGATTCAGCTGATAGAGACAGAATAGGAATATCCAAAGACGAGCTTGTTCATATGTTACGGGTATGGTATATATTCATAAAATATTAAAATCATCAGGGCATTAAAGCAACTGCTTTAACAATAATTGTCATTGATACCTTGAGAAAGAGTTAGAACAATTATAAAAAAAATATGATCAATTTTCACTTTTATTACTACTGTAATTAATGATCACAATTTTGGAAAATCGAGATCTGTTTCAAATGATGTATGTATATAATATATTTATCAATGGTCAGTCAGTTGTGGCCTAGTGGTTAAAAACGCGGTTCTCGTGCATGAGGGCGCAGGTTCTATCCTCGCAAGAACTAATGCGATTTTTCCTAGTCATATGTATGTACTTTCTAAGAGTATTTAGACACCGCTGACAGATGATGAAGGAAACAATCATGAGGAAACCTGGACTTATAATTTCACAATTATAAGTTTGAAATCACCAACCTGTCTTGATCAAGTGTGGCGATTAATGCTCAAACCTTCTCTATGTGAGAAGAAGCCTTTGCTCAGTAGTGGGCTTCTGATAGGCTGATGATGATGATGATGATATATATTTATATTTTCAGGAAGAAGAATTAGCTAATGCAATCCTCGTGGTTCTAGCCAACAAGCAAGATATGGCTGGATGTCTGACTGTTGCAGAGGTACATCAGGCACTCGGTTTAGATGCACTTCGAGACAGAACTTTCCAAATATTTAAGACCAGTGCAGTGAGAGGTGAAGGTCTCGACCAAGCTATGGATTGGCTGTCTAATGCATTGCAGGCTAGGAAATAGTATAGGTTAGTGTTAATCTATACTAATATTATAAAGCTGAAGAGTTTGTTTGTTTGTTTGTTTGTTTGTTTGAAAGCGCTAATCTCCGAAATTACTGGTTCGAATTGAATAATTCTTTTTGTGTTGGATAGTCCAGTTATCGAGGAAGGCTGTGAGCTATATAACATCACGCTACGACCGATAGGAGCAAAGATATAGTGGTAAATGTGTAAACAACGGGAGAAATTATTTCATCTTTGAAGCCTTCCGTTGCGTGAGCCGTGAAAACGGTTCAAGATACACAAAAAATATGTATTAAAGAATAATAGCTCTTTTAATGATCCACGAAACAGTCCGCGACAGTATAAGCGCGTCTATCTTTTAAGATTAACTCACAAAAACCGTTTTTATGGTACCTAATTTAGTCGAAATAATTTGTTTAAGTTGTATCAAAATAATAATATTAATCTTTATTCATATAAACAAATACATATGTTGTTGGTTAAGAGTACTTCATTATTAATTTAAAAAAAACATTTGTTTCATCCTGAAAATTCTACGGGAACTCGACCATTCCGAAAACCCCGCAAGAACGGGAACTATGTGGGAAGAACCAAAAATCTGTCGGAAGTAACTATTCCACGCGGACGAAGCCGCGGCAAAAGCTAGTATACAATAAAATTGTGTATTTTTTTTATTTTTTCTAATGTTTCAAACAAATTGTTATTTATGAAAGTTGACATGAAGTTTTAAATGATGTAACAGTTTTTTTTGTGGTGTGGTTTTAAGTCATAATTTAAGTTTAAAATGTGGCACTTGTTAATTATGCGTATTTCATTTTCAGAACTGCTGTATACAGAAAATAAAATTATATCAATAACCGTTTGTCAGAAGATAGTGTAGAAGGCTCTGGCTGGACCTAAGTTATTTACTCTCCATATGTATGCATTATATAACTTGTAAATCTGATTCCCGTTTTGAGTATGAATTGTGATATAATTGTCGCGGTTTTAGAATAAAATAATTTTAATGAACAGCCTTTCATTTTATATAATTAATACTCAAACGGGATGTACAAATATTTTAGATTGCTTGCAGAGATAAAGTTTTCAAAATAATCTAGAGTTATGTATAGTTTCTATCATTGACCATTTTTATGTTTGCATTTATGCTAATAATTCAATTATAAAATAGTACTAAGCTAAATTTTTTTTCTTATTTGATTAAATACCTAATATTATTATATATCAATTTTTATATGTGATTTGCGTTATAGCTCTAAACACTACTAGCTACAGTTCCATTTCTTGTTAAAAAATTGAAAGAATCTTAAGACAGAGATACATTGTTCTGTATTTTCATGTTGTGTCCAAATAATTTCAAGTTTATATTACATGTGTATGGAATATATTTTGCGAATATATGTCGCGTCATAGAGCGGTTTGTAGACATGCTGTTGAATCGGTTTAATTTGCCGAAACTGATATAAAACACAACATGAAATGTTAGATAAGTGTATTTCTGCTATTATGTGGCTTAATATTTTGACCAATAGGAATGCATTAAGATTTTAAACGAATTTGTTTCTTATTGGTCTATATGCACATATACTGTGAAGTAACGTAATGAATTGTTATGCTGTTTGAGATGATATCGGCTTTATAAAACAAAACAAACAGCATTGCAAGCAAGTGTGTATGTACCTATATATAATTTATGATTAAATATTATTTAATGTGGAAATATTAATATATTTTGTATCTGACAATCATCAGGCTATCGGTTATTTAGGTTTGAAATAAATAAAGTGAAAGAGTTTTTCTAAATACATTATCCAGTAAGACATAAGTTTTATTTTTTATTTTATCCTCTATTTAAAATATATTACGCCGAATAAAAGTAATCCTCGTAAACTTTACATACTTTATGAAGATTTGAAATTTTTTTACGGTACTTTTATCAAAAGTATTCTAGCTCATTATACAACCCAACGGCTTACCAGTTGAAAATAAATTTGACGAAATTATTAATAATGATTTTAAATTATAAGTTAAAAACTAAATTTAAAAAAAACATCTTTGGTATGATTAAATTTATGGAATTTCTTTACATTTGTAACATATATACACTTAAGAAAGTTCACATTAAAGTAAACAAGTTATTATACGTGATTCCGATGCTAATACCTAAAGGACCAGTTTAATAACCGGCGGGTAGTTTAATTGCAGGACAGTATAGAATGTAAGATATTAACTTGTTTGTTAGTGTATTGGAAGATGTATAGTTCATTTCAATAGAATTTAGCAATCTTGTAAACAAACGTGATCAGCTGATATTGACAGAGACTTGTCTATGCCCCAAGTGATGTGAGCACTTATATTTAAATCTTAATTTATATATTAAAGAATTTATATAAGTACATAATATAGTAGTTTTTTTTTAATTTCAACTGGATAGTGCATGACTGTCATTTCACCTATCTCTAGGTGGATAAATATGGTGATTGTAAGGAAACCCAGTTCCTACCCATTGGTGTGCTCATACGGAAGAAGGAGGTTTATAGGTTCGTCCGTATGTGAGGAAGGTTTATAATAAAATAATGGGGGTGTGTGTGTGTGTTCATCAGATGGTAAAAATTGGTTGCAGGAATTAAATCGTGCAATTTCTGTTTTAACAAAATCTCTGCAAAGCGTATCCTATAGAATGTCGAATGACTGGCTACCATTCCCCTGTGCTCAATGCTCACTTGATATTGATTTTAACTAAATTGTCGTTGCCAATAAGTCTTCCAAGTCTCTCCATGGAGTCCAAAGCAGTGAACTGACATTTGGCAGCGCCTGCAAACATGCGACCGTAGTATTTTAACCACGACGGCCAGTGTATAGGTAATTTGACGTTCGTAAAATACGAGTATAGTAAATAAAAGGCCTAGCGGCTTAATGTGCAATTCGGACACAATGATGAGTGAAATATTGTATGAATGAGATATTGGACATTTCACAATTATTTTCAAACGATAAACTTGTTAAACATTAAAATAACATATGATTTCTTTACCGGGTACTTTTTTCTTGCGCTCAAGCAAACATTTGATCTTAAAATCTTAAATAAATTATCAGCCGCTCTCTCGTCCCACGCATTCAGAAAAAATATGTACTCTCAGCAGACCTGGATTGTTTAAAAAAAAATTATTTCAACATTTTTCTTTTTTAATCAATATTTTTTAACGCCATTATTAGACAGCATTTTTTCACTTTTTATTAGAACTTGTGTTCATACGGAAATTCAACATTTTACCCATATCTTGCACAGGGCACTTCTTTTACAATTTTATATAGATGCCTTCTATCTTATGGGTATGGTAAACCAAGAATTGTTTTATACGTATTATTGTTTATGTTAAATGTTAAAACAAAAGAACTTTCGGCTTAATTCTGTCATATACCTTCAAAATATGTTGAAAATCCTTTTTATTATAAATTCTATGCCAGCCTTTTGCTGGCGCTGAAGGCCCAAAAAGGGGGGAGGGATAAGAGGTTCAGAATAAAATCGGGGAACTGTGTAGGGACCTGGGACGTGATTTGTTATTTGATTTAGCTACAATAAGTTATATTATACTGATTTTTCAATAGGTGAAAAAATTATTTATCTCAAAGTTTGCAGAAGACAAAATAAGTTTAGTAACCCCTGTTCTACGACATTTTGAGATGTGATCTAACCCATAACTGTTGCAAAGGTTGAGACAAGTCCGGATCTAAATTTTAATGCAATAATTACTTTATTTTTGCACAATCGAACCAAGGGCTAGTAAATACGAAGAATGTTCAAAAAGTAGTGAGAAGGACAAAGTAATGGGGGTAGGGGGAAGTTGAAAAAAAATTATCGTGGAAAGATTTGGTCTTTGTCATTAAACCCTCAAATAATTAGGTACCTTTCTATCTTGTCTTTGGTCAGTTGTATATTTCTTTGTGACGTGTCGATAGCACTCTCTGAAAATGGATAAAATTGGAATCCTAGTGTTAAAATACTTTTGCTTAAAATTTTTGCTACGAAACAATTTTTTTCATTTTTAACGCTTAATTTTTTGGGACTGTAAGGGGTTTATAATTATTGAATACGCTGAACAGGAAGCCACTATTATAGGCAATGTCTAAACGGAACAAAAAAGAAATTACGTCAAGAAATTCTTGACAAGCAACGAGGGATAGTCTCCAAAAAAGTTTTGTTCCGTCGAGACAATGCCGATTCACAAGTCTGCAGTTGTCCTAGTAGCAAACCGAGATACTGGCTTTGGGATCAATGATGATCCTGCATATGCAACGGACTTAGCTTCTTGTGATTTCTACTTAGTTCCGCTGTTGAAAGAACACTTGAGAGGTACAAAATTTAAGCATGAAGAAGAAGTGAAATCTACCTTTAACGACTTTTTAAATACTCAATATGAAGATTTTTTTTTAAAAGGGAATTTTGGCTCTAGAAAAAAAATTTGCTAAATATATTGACCTAAAGAGAGATTATGTGGAGAAATAAAAAAATAAGTATTACATACATATTTTAAAGCCCGTCTTATAGTAGATAAAATGTCGTATACACGGTATAGTCTTGTGCCCCACTCCTTTCAATCCTGATCGTTCATGAAAATACTTCTTCCATTTATTATGACATCTCTTCTTCACAACATATTACTTATAATATATTAGATTCAAATGTTGAAAAAACAAATAGTCTTCCTAGAGCAAGCTTTGCAATATATTTTGATATGTATCGGATTCATTATAAATTATCGTTGTTTTTAAAGAAAGTGACGCCATCATCGCCTACGTCACTTATGTCACTTCTTTCAGTACGTTCCGTGATATTTTAAAATGAAACTTCAATTGTTTTTAAAATTCTTGTATTTTTCGAATTTTCTTCATAATGACATTATTCAATGGTCCGCACTAACTGAACTCTCATGCGTCCAGACGTCATATTAATACTAGAATTCAAACATAGTTCTATTCTCCTTTTAAACGGTCTTT